TGTCTGCTGGGCTATACTTGTAAAAACCGAGCACTGTCTTCTGTGTCCAGAAATGTGCCCCATTAAAAACTTGTTGAAATCTGTTTTGCCCTTATTTGGAGTGCCCGCATTCCTGCTGTAAATAACCCGGATGGTATTGACATCACTGAACCGGAACATGACTTCCTCCCAGTCCCTCATGTCTGGGTGGATGTGACTTGCTGCATCAGTACCTGTGGTTTTTGCTGCTGATGCTGAGAATGTTGTTTTGATGAAAAGGAAGCTTGGGGACACCTTTGTAGCGACTAAGGTCCAACCTCCACCTTCGCTCTCCATGTCGCAAAAAGCCTGAAACGAGTCATCTGTTGAGCCTCCGTTCGGATCAATCCAGTAAAGTCGGCTACCACGGCTGTCACCTACAGGGGAAAGGAAAAATAAACAAACAAACATTTTAGATGACCCACGTCAAAATTCAAGGAGTTGAGGATTTTTCACGGTTTCTCAACAATAAAGCGTTATCTAGTATAATTTTACATGCTAGTGAAAAAATTAAAGAGGCACGGAAGGGAAAAAAGAATACAATGAAATGAGAAGATTAAGATCAATTTGATACAGATTGGCTAACGACACAACCATGACTTATAGACCCCTGACTGACTTATGGTATAAATTTTCCGACTGCAATTAGTTTTGATTTAAGCAGACCCTCAGCACCCCAAATGAAATCCATTGTGTTAATGCTACTATTCGGGTAGTTTAGAGATATTTTCTCGCTCGCATCTACACTGTTTTCCCACGACCAAGTTTCACGAGGGTTGTTCTCTTCACTAAGGATAATGTCAGGTAGCTTCGAATGATATCAGTGCACAAATGTTATCAAAAGATTTAACCTGCTTTTAAAATATCCAGACATTGACGGCCTGGCTTTTGGGGCTCGTGGCCTTGCTTGACTTTCTTGGGGTCAGCAGCAGGAGCAGTAAGCAGTAACAACCACGATCGACCGTCACAGAATTGCAATGCATTCTGGGATACATTATAACCAACTGTTCCAGCTGAACTCGGAGTGCAGTTCACTGAGACGTCATCGAATTTAAAAATACCCCCTGGATGTTTTCTGACAAAAGATGAGCCAGGTTCACCTTTTTGGCCCTGAAAAATATAATTCCGAGCGATGAAAATTTGATCAACTCTCTATGTGAGTCGTTTGAGTTAAAAGTTTTTCATAAGAAAGTATGGAAATAAACAAAATGTGTTCGATGTGTCCTCTAATTCTCTCCCTTTGCAATGACCCCAATGAAACGTGACTAAACTTATGTTTAGGAAGTCTTGTTTTTTTTTTTAAAAAAAAGCCATTTTTGGTGGCCTGAGGGGACAGGGTAAATCCTTAATTAGCTTCTTATTGTGAAATAAGTCAGTAAAAAGTACTATAAAGTTATAATGCATTTCGAGATCTCGCATGATCACCAATCATTTAGGGCATCACGCATCAAATAGGCCATTTCCGAATTACGTTTGGCCTCTTTTTCAAAACGAGGCCTGGTGCTCAACCATACGTTTGAAAATGAGTCTAATTTGCATGTGAATGAAAACTTATTACCAAACGAAAGGATGAGCACCAGGACTCGCTTTGAAAAAGAGGCTAAAGGCAATTCGGAAATGGGCTATTATAATAATGGCGTCACACCAACCTTAAATCCTTGTCCTCCTTTATCTCCCTAAAATAAATAGACAATGAACACGATTTTCAATGATAAATATCAAACTTTAGATATTCCCAGGAAATACTCAGAGCGAAGGAAAACAAGCTTTTTCCAACAACACGCGCGACACCTGAAAGCCTTGGCGCTTTTAGGTGAGAAGCAAAATTTGTCTATTCGTCATAACAAAAGATTCAGTAACCTTGAATCCTTTCATTCCGTCATCTCCCGGCAGTCCTTGCGCACCTTGTTCTCCCTAAAACGACGTGATAAAAGACACAATGCATTTTTCATTAAACGACGTTAGCCAAGGAGCCCCAAAAGCATTTTATTTGATCGTCATTTGAATAATAGCTTTCTTAGAACTCCCATTACGAACTATCTGCGCGGAATGTCTGTCTTTCAAGGATAAAGACGATCAGAATAATTTCATGTTTTGAAATAATTCTCTCAAGCTGTTTTAGCGCCAAAAGCAGTTGATTCGTCCTCTTTGAAAAAGTGTCAGTGTTCTTTTTACTCCCATTACGAACTTTTAGGGGGAATGTCATGTCTCTTAAAGGATAAAAACAATAAGAATAGTTCTCCTGTGTGACTTTCTACATTCTTTCTTTTCGAATATAAAAAATCTGTCTATTTGGAATAACAAAAGATAACTCATCGATCAGTGACCTTGATTCCTTTCATTCCGTCATCTCCCGGCAATCCTTGCGCACCTTTTTCTCCCTGAAATAACACGAGAAAGCCAAAATAGCTTATTTATTAAACTACGTTGGCCAAAGACCATCAAAAGCAATTGGCTTCATCGTCATTTGAAAAATCGCGTTCTTTTTACTCCCAATACGAACTTTCTGCGCAAAATGTCATGTCTTTCAAGGATAAAAACAATCAGAATGGTTTTCCTCAGTTGCTTTTTACATTCATGCTTTTAGATGATAAGCAAAATTTGTCTTTTCAGAATAAAAAAAGATCTAGTGACCTTGATTGCTCTCATCCTGACATCTCCTGGCGCTCCTTGCTCGCCTTTTTCTCCCTAAAATGTTAACGTGATAAAGACACAGTAGCTTTAATTCTCATTAAACGGCGTAGTACAAATTACAAACAACCTCCATCCCAGCACAATGAAGTCTTCTGGACAAGGGAGGTTCTTTAAAAACGTTTTTCAAGCGTTCTGCCTCCTAAGTATCTCTTCTAAAATCAGAAAGAATGATGCAGAATGACCCGCAGGTTAAAAAACAATAATAAGAAAGAGAGATCGAGGCATCAACTGGAAGAATGGCGGCTACCGAACAAACATATATCGCAGTTTCCACACCGACCTTTTCTCCGGCATTTCTCCCGTCGCGTCCATCACGGCCATCTTTACCTTATT